TGCTTAATTTTTCTATGAAAGATGAAGAATGGAAGGACTTTTTTCTTTTCACCTACACTTTGGGGAAGAGTTGTTTCCTTGGGGAAAAGCAGCCTGATGGTCAGAAATTATGCTTTGGCTTCTCATGATGTGACATCATTCAGAGATGATACTGTTTCTTTTTTTTTTCACTTTTAGTTATGTTACTTTTTATTATTTTATAATATATTTCAAAAAAAGAAAAGAAAGAAAAAAGAAATGTCTTACAGATACCTTAGCTGTTCTACAAGATCTGCAACACTGGCAAAAGAAGCTTACTTTGAATTTAAACACACAAATGTTAAAACTGTAATACTTACTTGTACTGAACTATTACTATCAAAGGGATGATATTATTTAACAAGCAGATGTAACGCAAAATAAAATGCAAACAGTTGTTAATACAAAAAAGTAAACTTTGCATTCATTGCTACAAAAAGGATGATTAAAAAAAACCAGTTGGTATTGTAACATTCTAGGCTTCAAGCTGTATTACATGTTTAAAGCAATACATGCTCTTCAAAGCTTGCATTTTCAGCCTGTGTGAGTCACCTGAATTAAAGACTAGATAGACTTAAAAAAAAAACAAACAAAACACCCCACAAACAGCTAGTGTACAAATATGTCCTTCACTCCTCCAGAAAGCTACAGTTCAAATGAATGAATTTATGACTTTCATTAGGGGTATTAATTTCCCAATAATTTTCTTCTCACAATGCTAAATGTTTTTAATTGTTAGAGGTGAGTAGGAGGAAGAAGCCTTCCAGGCTAAATTTTCACTCTAGTTCCAAGTAATCAAAGATGTGAATGTTGCCAGAAAAAGAGCATCTTCAACCACTTTGTGTTGGTTTTCAGTCATAACAGCATTGAAGTTTAGATGACATTATTTTTGCACAACATAGGATCCTAGATTGAGAGCTGGATGGGGACACATTGGCTCTCTTCCCCTCCTCTTTTATCCCCTCTCCTTATTTGTTACCCTTTTTCTTCAGGGTTTTATTTGTCCTGTCTCCTAATTTTATCAGGTTATATATTTCTTTCCCCTCTTTTTTCCTGTCAATCACATAGATTCATTTTCCTTCTTCTCCCCATGGGCTAGTCCTGTTTATTTTGTTTTTTTTTTTGTTTGCTTTTATTTGTTGTGTTCTTCTTGGAGACCTCTGATCTTTGGGTTGTCTCTGCCTCCTGTTTTCAAGATCATTATGTTTTGCTTGGATAGTGAGAATGTTTTATTTTAATGTTTTTGGATTTTGCTTTTCTTCTTCTGGGTTGTCCTTCACGTCTGTGCATTTACATTCCCAATCTATTGTTCTCTCTTTTGTTTCTTTGGTGAGATTTAACATAACAGATTCAAGTCTATCTCTGCTGTTCATTATTTTTTCTGTGTAGAACATAAATTATGTACTCATAATTCTCATTTTTTTAAACTACTTAGAAACAGTGTGTTGTAGTTCCATGTTCTCTTCAAAGTCCAAAAGGTTCCCTATCTCACCAAATGTTGGATCATTTTCCTTCATTTTGAAGTATTTATTCATAGTTGCCTGAATTCATTTACTAAATCTCAGGGCCATATTTCTTCTGTTACTGCTTCTCCTGTTGATTTAGCTGCTTGTTTTCACAATCTTTGATATTTCTTCTTCTTGGATTCTTTGGTACTTTTAGGTATTCCCATTCCCCATTTATTTTCCTTGTCATTCATTTCTGCCTCCTTCCCCTCTGATGAAGGTTTCCTTGGAGGCTGGATCTCAACTCATCTCAGGCTTCTCCTACACTGGGCAATTCACAAATTACTAGACTCTGTCTCTGCCTCAACTGATTTTTGTGTGGTCAAAACTGACCCCAGCTATGTGCTGTGCTCTTTCCCTAAGGCTTGGTAGAATGCCACACAGTTTACCACATGTATGGTGTCCTGTCCTGGTGGCCTGTCCCATTCTCTCTCTTTTTCACTTCTTTTGTTTGGCAATGGCAATTCAGAGCCTGCTTTGTCGAGAACTGAAGTTCAGAATTTTGAAACTCTGGTACTTCTGGGGTGCAGGCCCTAGCAGGTTTTTGTTCCTGGAGGGCTGTGACCAAACTCACTGTCAAGAGTCAAGCCTTGAACCAGGATCTCTATGACGATGGAAAGAGGAAGGGGGAACCAGGATGCAGGGGTGGATTTTGGCATAAAGCTGTGTTGTGTCCTTGCATCTACTGGTACAGCCTTGCTGCTGATATTGTGGGAGGTGACAGGTGCTGAGTGGCCTCAGGGTCAGTGAACATCACTTCTTGTTTTTGTTTTGTTTTGTTTTGTTTTGTTTTTATGTGGCCTTTAGTAAATCAGTCTATCAAAAAGTATATGTAAAATATGAATAATATGATAAGTGCTACAATCGAAGACCTTGCCTTCAGGAAGCTTACTTTTGTCTTCATTTCTCGAGGATTTACTTTCTTACTCTGTACCATAAGGGATTCAGTCTATGTAATGTCTAAATGCCTCTTAGGTGTTACCCCCCCTCCCCATAATTTTAACATTATTCAGTAAGACTTTAGACTGGAGCACTATTTTGAGATGGGCTTTGAAATAAACATAGATTGTCATTTGTTGTAATTGGTAAGGATAGGAGCAATATTAGCAGAAGCACAATGGGATGAGAGGAGACACAAAGTAGATAAATATTAAAGCATAGAGGAATCATTTATAGATTAAACTCAAACACTAGAAAGGACTTGACATTGGCATGGAAATTAGCCATTCTGGTTCAGTAAACCGCTTGGTGTTTGATCACTCAGAAAACTATTCACCCCAGTCTAATCAAGTGAACATTTTAATACAGTAAACTGTGTTCCCCTCAATTTTAACTGATTTGCAAAGAGCACTGTGGTTTTGTATTTCTTCTTCCTCCCTGGATACTGCATGACCAATCACCTGTTTTCCTCCATTTCTGCCAGGATGATAGAAGGAGGGAAAGGGAACAAGCATTTATTAAACACCTACTCCTCGCTGGGCACTGTGCTAAGTGCTTTACAAATACAACCTCATTTTATCCTTACCTCTTACTTGGACTATTGTGATTGATGCCATATGGCTTGTTCAGTCTCTCTGTCCTCTTTGAATCCATCTATCACAATACTTCTGACCTCTTTTCCTAGTAGAAAGTAGAAATGAACTGTCATTTGTTCAACAGATGGTTTATCCTGTGATTTAATGCACCCGCATCTGAATAATACGTTTTCTTGAAAACTTTATTCCACACTGTTCCCTTTAACCTGCTCCATGCCCCAGTGGAATCATTGTTTTGAAAGTATTTGAAAGGATATCATATGTAAGAGGGATCACAGGTTCACAGATTTAGAGATTAAGAGGATCTTGGAAACCCTCAACATCCAAACCACTCATTTTATTTTATTTTATTTTATTTTTTTTTTTTTTAGGCAATTGGGGTTAAGTGACTTGCCTAGGGTCACTCAGCTAGTAAGTGTCAAGTGTTTGGTCTGAGGTCAGATTTGAACTCAGGTCCTCCTGACTTCAGGGCCAGTGCTCTATCCACTGCGCCACCTAGCTGCCTCCTAAACCACTCATTTTATAGAGGAATAAATTGAGGCACAGTCAGTTTAAGTCACTGAACTTGAGTCACACAGCTAGTAAATGTTACAGGAAGGAACTGAACTCACATCTTCCTGACTACAAGTCAAGTATTTAGCTGTTCTACAATAAATCAAAGAGTGGTTTTTTTTTCTGTTTGTTTTTTTTTGTTTGTTTGTTTGTTTGTTTTTTTGTATGTAGCCCAAAAGACAGAACTAGAGTCTATGTGATTCAGGACTGATGTCAGAGGAAAAAGAGATGAATCCTTAAACAATTAGAGCTTTCTAAAAGTGAAATGGGCTATTTTAGGAGATAAGGGACACCCTTCAGAGGAGCTCTTCAAGAAGAAATAGAATGATCACTTGTCAGATATGCAAAGTTAATAAAAATGATGATAATAGGCACAGGTAGGTGGCACGGTGGATAAAGCACTGGCCCTCAGTTCAAATCCAGCCTCAGATACTTACTAGCTATGTGGCCCTGGACAAGTCACTCAACCTTGATTACCTCAAAAAATTATAATACCAATAACTAGCATTCATGCATTGTTGCCAGGTTCATCAAGTGCTTGACAAATACTATCTCATTTAATCCTCATGACAACCCTAGAGGATGCAGATTCTTTTGTTATCCCCCTTTTGTTGTTTTTGTCTTCAGTCTTTTCAGTCTTATCTGACTCTTAATAACCCCATTTGGTTTCTTCTTGGCAATGATTTGCTATTTCCTTTTCCAGATCATTTTGCAGATGAGGAAACTGAGGCAAACAAGGTTAAGTGACATACCCAGGATCACACAGCTAGTATGTCTTTGAGGCTGGATTTGAACTCAGATCTTCCTGACTCCTGGCCCAATAATCTATCCACTCTTTCCCAACTTAAATGCCGCTTCTTCAAGAATTCCACAGCTAGGAGTGATTTCTCCTTCATCTGGTCTCCTGGCATGTCATATTCCTCTCATCCACTTAAACATACTTCAAGTGATGTTATAGTTATCTGTGTAAATATCTTATTTCCTTCTAACAGAGTGCTTTGTGGACCTTACAACACTCCAGAAAGGAGACTACTGGGTGTAGTGGAAAACTCCAGAGTCCTGGGACCTAGGTTCAAATTTGCCTCCAAAACTTATGTGAACTTGGACAAACCTTCGTGAGCCTCAGTTTCCTCATCTGTAAAATTAAGGAGTTAGACTATATGGTTTCTGGGCTCCCTCCCTGTTATAAATCTAAGATCCCATGTGCATCATTATTGATAACATCCTTAAGTACAAAGACTGCAACATTCATTTGCACATCTCCAGAGCCTAGCACAGGATATTACACATAGTAGGGTCTTAACAAGTCTTTATCTGATTGATTTGAAGGGGAGAATCATGTAAGCTAGTAGAAGAGGTGATTAAATGTATGTATCTATTTATTCCACAGGCACAACAGCTAACAGATTTGGAGCAAAAACTAGCAGTTGCTAAAGATGAATTGGAGAAAGCGGCTCTTGACAAGGTAAGCTTTTTTCTGAGGCCAGATTCATGATATGTATAAAATTTTGCTTGTTCATTGGCAACATTCCCTAATCCTTTCTGTTGCTGATTTATTTATGAAATTCTGCTTGCTGTACTCCCATGATGACTACAGAACCTATGAGGAAAAGACAGCCCTTTAGGGTCCAACCTATTTTTAAAAATTTATTATTTATCAACTGTGAATGCTTATTTAAAAAAAAAATAGTTCCAAATTCTCTCCCTTCTGCATTGTTCCCAGCCCTGGAGAAGGCAAAAAGGCAACATGATATCAATTATGCATGTCAAGTTATCAAAACATATTTCTGCATTATCCATGTTACATAAAAACATAGGTAAAAATAAGAAAAATAAATTGAGTGAAAAATTATACCTAAATCTGCATATTCATATATATATATATATATAAATATGAACATATATATACCCATAAATCATCAGTTCTCTCTCTAATGATAATAGCATTTTTCTTCATGAGTCCTTTAGAATTGTCTTGGACCACTGTATTGATCAGAGCAGCTACGTCTTTTACAATTAATCAACATATGATATTGCTGTTACTGTGTACACATGTTCTCCTGGTTCTTCTCACTTCACTTAGCAACAGCTCATTTAAGTCTTCCCAGGTTTTTTCTGAAACCACCCCCTCATCATTCCTTATAACACAGTAGTATTTCATCATAATCGTACACCATAACTTATTCAGTCATTCCCCAGTTGATGGGTAGCTCTTCAATTACCAATTCTTGCCACCACAAGAAAACTGATATAAATACTTTTGTACAAATAGGTGCTCCTCTCTTTTCTTTGCTCTCTTTGTGATATAGACCTAGTAGTGGCATTGCTTGGTCAAAGGGTATGTAAAGTTTTGTAGTCCTTTGAAGGTAGTTCTAAGTTGTTTTCCAGAATGGTTGAACCAGTTTACAACTCCACCAATGGTACATTAGTGTCAAAAGTTTCCCACATCTCATTCAACATTTGTTATTTTCCTTTTCTACCTTCTTAACCAATTTGTAAGGTGGCACATCAGAGTTTTTTGTTTTTGATTTGCATTTCCTCTAATTAATAGTGATTTAGAGAATTTTTATATGACTATAGATAGCTCTGATTTCTTCTTCTGAAAACTGCACACTCATATACTTTAACCATTAATCAATTGGGGAGTAGCACTTTTATAAATTTAGGTGTTTCCTATATGTTCTTGTCATAAACTTTTCACCCCAGGTTCCTGCTTTCTTTCTAATCTTGGCTGCATTGGTTTGCTTGTGCAAAAACTTCTTAATTTGATATGATCAAAATTATCCATTTCATTTCCTATGAGCTTCTCTATCTCTGGTTTGGTCATAAATTCTTCCATTATCCATAGATTGGCTAGGTAAAATTTTCATGCTCCCCTAATCTGCATATAATATCACCCTTCATGTCTAAATCATGTACCCATTTTGACCTTATCTTGGTATATGGTCTATATCCAATCCATTTTTTTAAAATCCATTTTTTAAAACAAATAATGACAATAGGTCAGTTGACCTGGGGTTGAGGCTTGGCAATTTCACAACACCATTTTCCCACAGTGGATGGGAGTCTTTGTTCAGCATTGCCATGAATAAACATGTTCTAGCCTATATTAACTCTTTCTGAAAGAATTAGGAAGACAAAAAAATTGTTGATGATTTTCATTTGGGGAGCTTCCTATCAGAGGGTAGTGTACAGGGTTACCAAAGTAGGAAAGGGCTAACTATAGATACAGCTCTAAAGATTTCTCCACATCAATAGGAGGTAACTTTAATAGCTATATCTTTCTCTTCTTACTTCATTCTGGTATTTAAAGCTGTTATTAAGGTTATATCCAAGTTGGCAATTGAGGAGGACAAACAGTATAATAAATAACTTTGAGTTCGTGCTTAATCATAACTGGTTGGTACAACTGGGAGTGTTGAGTCTGAACAAAGGGAAGACATAGGAAGGCATTATACCTCTCTTTCAATATTTGGTGAAAAAAAATGCCACATGGAACATCAAATGAAATACATGTGAAGTGCTTTGAAAATCATAAAGTTTTATAGAAATGTTAGTGATGATGATACCAGTGATAATAATTGGGGAGTAATTACACTTGTTTTGCTAGTTGCCAGAGGTCAGACCTAGGAACAATTAACCTATTGACTATAAAGTAAGGGGGTTGGAATAGATAGCTTTTATTTCCCCTTCATCTCTAAATCCAGTAGCTGTGATACTATGATCCACCTCCATTATAGATGAACCAAATGAGATTAAAAGAAATGACTTGCCCATGGTCACACAGCTTGTAAGTGATGGTGGCATGTCTTTTAGACTTTATCCATTCTCTCCATAGAGTACAACACTCTATCCATTATCTCATGCTGTCACTTGAGGGCATAAGAAAGTTGAGAGATCTAAGATGACCTAAGCATGGGTGGGGAACCTGACACCTTGAGGCCACATGTGGTCCTCTAGGTCCTCAAGTGTGGCCCTTTGACTGAATCCAAACTTGGATTTGTTCTGTGAAGTTTGGATTCAATCAAAGGGCCGCAGCTGAGAACCTAGAGGGCCACATGTGACCTCGAGGCTGCAGGTTCCCCACGCCTGACCTAAGGAATCATGTAGCCCAATCCACTCAGCTTAGACATCCAGTTTATCTTGCATATACTGTTGATTGTCATCATTTTCAGAAGTTATATTGTATAAAGTCACCACAAAATAATAATTAGGGCAGATAGGTGACGCCATAGTACATACAGCTCTGGGCCTGGAGTCAGAAAGACCTGATTTCAATTGTGGCCTGAGACACTTATTAGTTGTGTGACCCTGGGCAAATCACTTCACCCTGTTTTCCCCAGTTTCCTCATCTGTAAAATGAGCTAGAGAAGGAAATGGCAATCCACTCCAGTACCTTTTCAAAGAAAAGCCCAAAAGGGGTCATGAAGAGTTGGGCACAATTCTCATCATTCATAGTAGCTATGTTCTATAAAGTCACCACAAAAAGTAATTAGTGAATACTGAAATGTTGGTTTTGGGGAACCTCTGGTCACAACATTTACTTTTAACACTTTCTGTAGAAGCCTCAAATACAGAATGACAAATGTCCTCTTTCTTTTCCTAGATATACCATATTGTTATCCTTTATTTTATTTTATTTTTTTTGCAAGGTAATTGGGGTTAAGTGACTTGCCAATGGTCACACAGCCAGTAAGTGTTAAGTGTTTGGTCTGAGGCTGGATTTGAACTTAGGTCCTCCTGACTTCAGGGCCAGTGCTCTATCCATTGAGCCACCTAGCTGCCCCTCAACATATTGTTGATTCACTAATATTGAACTCATAGCCAATAGCACTATAACTCATGCCTAAGAAAAGGTTATCTAACACATGTATATTCTGGGTAAGGCATCTCACCACCTTCTTGTACCTAGGAACACTAGATAGGACTTCAGCATTTTGCTTGGGGGCCTTTCTAAACAGTGAAATCACCAACAAAAAGCATAAAAATGAGAGAAATACTCACTAAATAGACCTTTAAAAGGACACTAGTTTAATGTATGAAAGCTGAAACAAAAAGGTTAAATGTTGCCTTGTTCAACTTTAGTTGGAAACGTGCCTGTCAGGCAATTCTAATTTTTCACTGCCTTTCACTTGTCCACCAGTGACTGTGAAATTGCAGTGAATATTGATTTTGGGGTTACAGATAAATTTTAGCAAGTATATGGAATCTTCAAACAATGAAGATTGATGGTATTGTGTGTGTATGTGTGCGTGTAGATATATATCTCTATCTATCTATCTATCTATCTATCTATCTATCTATCTATCTATCT